CGGGTCAAGAGAGGTCTGCCACACCATGTGGTACCTCCGGGGCAGGCGGGAATCGAACTCATGCGGAAGCGGCTTTTGGATTCTCAGTGCTGTGCTTTAACCCGCTGCGCCACCAGGGAGGGCCATGACACTGACTTTTTAAGAGATCAGCATTGTTTTGTTGAACCCCACATTCTGAGTGTGTTCTTGTGTCTATGACTTGTCCCTACCCCTGCATTTCTAGTAAATTTGGAGTTAGGTCTACAGCCTCGATTGAGTGAGTTCAGGTTGCATAAAGTTGGTGAGAACGCTTTACAGGCGATGCCATGCCCAGGGCGTCACTGTTCTGCTCCTGCTCACTAGTTTGATGAAGGGGTTGGCTGTGACTGGAGGTGTAAGTGTGACCTGAGTAAAATCCGATCAGTGTTTGTCATGGATTGTGACAATCTGATACTAAATCACATAAAAGTGTGTGAAAGGCTAGGAATAGCTGAATTAATTATTATTAGTAGGAATAGTAATGTGTTTGTTGAGAGCTTACTCCATGCCAAACACTGTCCTCAGCACTTTCCATGCTTTAATTCATCTAATTCTCGCCACTGTCCATGTCAGTGTTATTCCCATTTTAGAACTGAAGAAATGGAGGCACAGTGGCTCCAAGTAAATGTGTATGACTAGACAAGGAGCCTGGCCAGTCTCACACGGGGACTCAGCGTGTAAGCTCACCCCCCTGCACATCGCTGATAAAACATCCAGACTCCTTTTACACACCAGCCATAAAGAAGACACTGGTGTTAAGAACAGAAACACAGGTCGAGAGGAGATATTTCCAACACACGAAACCATAAATGATTGGGACCACACATAATACAAAAACATATGCAGTGCTACAAATTAATAAGAAAACAGTGAAAAACGAAATAGCAAGGATATGAATAGGACAGTTCCCATCAGACATCCAAGGCCCATAAACATAAAATATCTGGTTAGTGTCAGGGAAATGCAAATGGAATTCATGGCAAGATAGCATGTTCTGCTCATCAGCACGACCCACATTTAGATACTGGATAACATCAAGATTGTCACACGTGTGGAAAAACAGGAGCTCTTGAGACTATGAGTTGTTATAGTAACTCAGGAAAAGAGTGTAGCAACACTTCAGCATACACTGTGTATGTTGCTAAGCACGTGCCAGATTCCTAAAGGCAGACATCTACACGTGCTTACAAGGAGACATGCACAAAGGTGAGTGAGGAAGAGAAAGTTCTTTAAAGGAAAGATAAATAAACAGGTTTATTTGCACATGGGTGGAATACTATTCAGCATTCAAAGTGGAATGAATTCCATTTGTCAGCATGTAATTACATTCACATGTGTGAGCACCAATAAATCTAAACACCTGTAAATATTTGCATAAAATTCAAAATTTGTATAAAGTTTTAAAACACAAAATCTTTGGGCATATTTTTTTCTAAATACATATATATATACATTAAAAAGTAACATGAACTAAGGTCAAGACTGGTCTTGGGATTGGAATAGGGTTTAGCTCTATTTGCAAAGCTTCAGTTTTTGAAAAACTAAAGATCACTCTAAAGAGATTAAGACCAAATATTAAAATCTTTTTGGCCGTGGGGTGGCTTTCAATGCCATTTTGCATGTTTGTAACATCTCCTACTTAAAGCTAAGTATATTAGGACAAGAATGGATTACATTTTTAGTGTTTAGATTAAATTATTATATAATACAGAAATTGCGGTGAGTAATTGTTCCTTTTACTAAACATGTTTTAAAACACTGCAGAGTTCATTAAAATTAGAGGAACAACAATGTCTCCTGCTGACCTTATTTGCTAGAGTGGAACACAGAGCTTCCTTGTGTCAAGTTGCCCCTCAGGATAGATCTCATAATCTCATTTGTACCCAGTTTTCCATAATTACATCGGACAACATAATTTTAAAAAAGGCCTTTTTTGTTGGAGATAAAAGCATATTCTATTAACCACCCAGCTAAGGACCACGATTGACAAAAAGCTTTCTCTAATTAGTATGATTGTCAGAGCGTGTTAGCATCAAGCTTTTGGAAGAGTAATGGGTCCTTCAGCAGCTGGACTACTTTGGGGAACTTTTGCTTCATTTGATAGGGAGAGCTTCCTGGTTCCTCTGCCTGTTATCTCAAGACATCGTTTCCCAAGAAGAGGAAGAGAATGAGGCTACTTTGGGGAACAATTAAGTGTCCAAAAAATGGTTGCGAATTATATGGCCCTATCAATACTGGGTTACAGTATTGATGATTAAGCCCTGTTGCATGTCACCTCATGGCAAAGTGAACACAGCTTATACATAAATCCAGAAATGCAAATCGAATTACAGCAACCTTTAGGTACATAGCTGCGGTAGAGAGTTATTTATCCCATGTCCAAAATTTATGAGGCTTTTTATTTTGGCAAGTTGTAGCAAATGGTCCCCACCAGGTGTTCTGCTGCTAGCTCCAGACTAAAGCCATCTGCTAAAATTCCTTTTGTTTTTGTTCAAATTAGCCAGTCGTGTTAGATGTTTAAAGTCAAAGATGGACCTTCCTTGAGTTGGGTAGCACTCTGCACCTGTCGACAACGACATATAGACGGCAGAGTCTGGTTCAGAATCACAAGAGCCTGTTATTCAAATCACAGTCTCTGCACCGACCACGCCATGCTGCTGTCAGGCACGGTGTTTGCTTTTCAAATTGTCTGTCGTCCTTACAGTTTTATACTGTACCTAAAGGTTGATAAGTTTCTTTTAAGGATACATTTTTTATTGTGATATAATTGACATATAGCATTAAATAGTTTCAAGTATGAAACATAATGAATTGATGTTTGTGTACATTAAAGACATTCTTATGAGAATATAAATAAAAAATATTGGGTTAATACTTGGGGAAAATAAAGTGTTTTATGATTTATTTTGGTGTCATGATCCCTGAAAACGAAAATCGTGGGGTCCTGCATTTCATTGTTAATCAGTGGTTGCATGTCTATATGGTTTCTGAATTTTTACGTCAAAGAAACTTTGGAGTTAATATATTGCACTGGAAAAGTTTTCTACTAATCTGTGTTGCCCTGCTTTTCTCCTGTCCTGCTCCAGCGTCACCCTCTGTACCCTAGCTAGGGTGTTACAGTCCCCTTCCCTGCTTCAGTAGTTGACCTTGGGAGGTCAGGGGCACGGAAGACCCTTTCATAGTTTATAGTTGGCCCTCTGGCCATGTAGGTCCACACCTCCATCTGTGACTGGGTGACTGCAAACACAGGGACTGCGGATAGGCATAAACCCGAATGTGATGTACCCACCGTTCACCGTTGTTGCTGGAGGGTCGGCTGCGCTAGTTTCTTCCCTGTCTTTCCAGCTCCCCGGGTCTGAGTCGTTACTGCTTGCTTCTGCTCTGGCCTCACAGAGCGTCTGACTAATCTGTTCTAGAAATTCATGTGCTTTGGTGAGTGAATCTGAACTCTGAGCGGAAGTCGTAGAAGGGGGCATGTAAACACTTAGCAGCAGAGCTTTGGAATCTTGTTCTCAGCATGCTCTCATGCACCTTGCTCCTCCCGGCTGCTTTCCTGTGCTGAAGACTGGGCACACCCTCCACACCACCATCCAGGGGTCAGGGCAGGGCTGGGAGCCGCCTGGCTGCAGATGGGGCTGCAGGGGCCTCGGGGGCGGGCTCTGTGCCTGTCTCAGCCCTGCCTTTCTCACAATGCTCTTAAAAAACTGAATATTAGGTGTGTGTTATTTTTAATTACTGTCACTGATGTATGTAATTTGAAAATTAATGTTGCTGTAATTATATTGATATTCTGAATACTTATTCCCAGCTTTTTAGTCAGACAAATTAAGCCTGTCTTTATGAATTCATCTTCAAAGCCTCCAAGTGGTTAAGGAATTGAGAGTATGCAGAATTAAAGCCTTTGTTCTGCGGTTAATTTAGCATGAGTTAGCAAATATAATTGATTTTAAAAATGTGGCATCAAGATTAGATTTCCCTTCAAGGAGAACTTTTGGTCTCTGTTCTCTCTTGCCAGAGGTTTCTAATTTATACTCAGCAACTTGGCTCGGGTCACATTCAAAGCTGGAATTAAAATGATTTGTTTGGGTATGTTGACAAGGAGTTAAGGGCTTTAAATAGGGGACATTCTCCTTTGGGACCACAAATACCCTGATTTTGAAAGAGGTGAATGCACAGTCTGTCTACTCTTGTATTTCCTGGACTTAGCAGAGTGCCTAGGTGCTCAGTAATTGTGGGCGTGTGTATGTTGTTTTTTAATTGACTGAACAGGTGAATAGAGGCCACTAGGAACCAGAACAGAGAAATGTAGCCTTCTGATTTCTCCAGCATTGAAACAGCTCATCTGTTTCTCTCCCTGCCCTGAGACCCCACGGTGGGTTCCTACCATATTAACACCCCCACATGGCTCCCGGTTCACCCTTACGCCGGGGCTCTGTTGTGGCGTGGGCGTATTGCTCACAGGCACAGCTGCTGGCACCTGACTCGACAAGTCATCTGCACCCCCAGGAAGGACTGAGTGAACAGGTCACACCAGGGAGACGGAGAAGCCCCACCACAGAGTTCTCAGTGCGAGAAAGTTGATTGCAACGGAGGGAAACAGCAGGTGCTGTAGGAACAGGGAAAGGACAGGCCACGATGAGCCTGGAGATGACTTTTTGATGCTCAGTGTCCTGTCTCCTGACTTTGCTTCTGAGGCCTGGCCCATCTGTCGATAGCCCCTTCCCTTCGCTCTGCTCCGTACGGTTGAGGTGCCTTCTTCCCAGGCTCCGGCCACCGTCTCTGTCTCTTGCCCAGATCCTCCCTAAGCATCACACCCCTCACAGATCCTTTCCTGGCTGTCCCTGCACTTCCCAAAGCTCTGAGAAAATGCCGTCTTTTCTTTGTCCTCCTAGCGTTCGTACCTGCTATTCCCTCTGCTTGGAATGTTCCTCCTTCCAGCACTCTTCCTGGCTACCTGCTCCTTATTCTTGGGCACCTTGGACTTCAGTTCTTGTGAGAACATTCATTCTCCCAGCCTGCCAAGTGTGAGTTAAAGTCCTTTGTGCATTCATTACAGCCTGTGTTTCCCATTATAGATTCTGAGCATTCATAGCACTTTTATAATTACCCCTTTGTCTCTTATTTGATGGTGACATCAGTAAAACTTCGCTATTTGTCTTTCTGGACCTAACTCAGAATTGAATGTTTTCCTGAGTGTTTACATCGACAACTGGTTGTCTGAGTCCCTCGACAACTTGGGATTTATGCCAGACAACGTGGGGTTTATGCCAGAGCAATGCCTTTACAGGTCACTCACCTGCTGCTGCTGTGCGGGACTCCCCTACCCTGCCAGAGCCCTTCAGGGTTGCTGCTCAGACAGCCCCACTTCCCTGTTGAGGGTGCTGTGCCATCCCTTGTTTTCTTTTGTCTTATGTCTGCAAGTTAACAACCAACAGGAACTCATCACAAGTGTGTTCTTCTTCAACATTTCTGCCTCCATTAAAATAGCGCCCTTTTCTTAATGACCTGAGCTGGGGAGCTGGTCGGTTTGAGTTCTTTACCTCCAGAAGCTTCACTGTAGGAACAGAGCTCTGAGGGAGCAAATCCGCCCAGGAGCTCCCGCATGACTCTGGAGTGATAGGAGCCCCCCCATCGATGAGACCCCAGTTTATTCCCATCTTTTCCCACTGCTGATACTTTGGTTAGACCGGTTTGAACTGTTGTCATCACCTCTGCCTGACCCGTGACCCCCAGTTCCTTCTCCTTGCTGGAGTTTGTGAAGAGCAGTTGAAAGTATATCCAGGAAAGTGCTCTCTAAATGGTGAACTTGAACATGTCAGTCATGCCTGTTACCTTTCTCGTGAAGCTCCTCTGGGTTCCTGCCTGTGAGACCTTCTGTCCTGGCCCGTCCGTCCAGGACTTCCTGACAGGACGGGTATGTGCCCTTGGCACTGGTGCTCGACCCAGCATGTGAGTTTCCTCCTCCCCTGCCCCTTCTGGGGACAGAAACCATGCTCCTTTCATCTTTGCGGGCACCTCCCTTGCCCCCCACACCCCCGCCCAGCGGAGGTCCCGCTCGGAGCCCTGAGCCACCGATGGCAAACACACACGTGTCAACCAAGTACCTTTAGCTCTGCAGAACCCTCTGCTGGGTCTCCCTCCCCTCTGCCTCCACCTAGCCAGCTGCCACCTTGCGGCACCCTTAACCCCTGCCTGCCCGAAGCGCAGGCCTGGAACAGGGCGCTGGCCTTCACCAGGTGAAGAACTTCGTGAGAGAGCTGATGGCGTTTTTATTCCTTGTTGCAGGTACTCGCCACTGGCCTCAGCGGTCTGTACTCTTCCCTGCCTACGAAGCTGGAAGAGAAAGGTGAGGAGTGGCACTGCCTTCTGAAAGACGACTGGCTCCTCCTCCCTGCCCTCGTCCAGTTCATGAACTCCCTGGAGTTTTGCAACGCTGTCATCCAGGTACGGGAGCACGAACCTTTGTGATGGTCCCAACACAGTGCAGGCCGCTGAAGGGTTTGGTCCTGACAGTCCTTCTTTGAGCTTTGATAGGCGTTTATGGGATATTGATGCTTGCATATACTGCATGTCCTTGCATGATGAAATTGTTAGTTTATTAGGTTTCTGGAAGTTTCAATTGAGAAAAAAATTAGTAGGTTTTATCTTCCTTATAAAAAGTGCTCATTCTGTTTTGATTATCCACTTAACCATCAAAAATAAGTTCAATGCCAGACTCATTAAATAGATATTTTTAGGGTTCTAAGTACTTCAGATTATACCACTTTTACTTCAAGGTCTTCTTGGGAGTCTACAAAGGAAAACACTTTATTTTGCTTAATGATGCATACAACATAAAGAATATTGTTATCCCAATTGAATTTGGAGGAAGTTAAGCGTCATCTTAGCAACACAAATTAAATTTGCTTTGAAATTGGCCTGCTTCAGGAGAAAACAGGCACTGAACTCTAGTATATTTGCTTCTTGATTAGATTTTTACCTCAGATTTCTCGTTACTGTTTTCAATAAAAATCAGATTTTATATATATTTAAGGATATAGTGGGTTTTCATCAAAAATGTTTTATTTCTATCTAGCATAAAATTACCTTAATATTGGATTTATTAAGAAGTCAAATTTTCTTTATGGTGATTGTAAGGTGAAAAATGTTAGTTATAATTTGTTTATCTACCAAATAAAAGAAACAGCTTCTGGAAGAAAATGCAAGTAAATTACTTTAGTTCTCATCTCATTTTTATTGCTAAATCAGAGGAAGTTTTATTTATATATAAGATAAATGAATTACATCTTAAGTTATTTTTTTCCTTTAATATTACAGTCTATCAACATTTTCTTGCAGAAGTGTGTGGAAATAAAAAAGATGAAACTATTAGTTTTTCCCCAAATGTACACACAGAGAGAGATTATCAGTAATTTGAAGATCTTGCCTCACTTCCCTAGAAATTGCTTTTTACTTTATTGTCTGATTTTATTCATTTATTTTTTTTAAGAAAGAGAAGAAGGGCTAGCTGCACAGTTAAGGACAGAGAAATGATGTATTTCATACTCGCTTTTGAAATTGAGATATTTTTGTTTGGAGATAGCACGAGAAATATTACTTACAAAAGATATTAGTAAAGAGTTATCCACGGTATAAATATATTTTAAAAATCAAGTATGAGGAGTGTTGTGCCTCTGATAGTGTTTTCTATTTTTTTAACAAGAGATTTGGAAATGTCTTCCTCCCCAATAAAAGTGATCATTACAGAACATGAGTCTCCAAAATGAAAAAATTCTGCTAGCAAAATGAGTTGTCCACTTTGACAGTTATATTCTTTTGTAAAAAGACAGCTGCAAGATGAGAATGTGACATAGACCAAGTTGAAGCAAAAATTATACTTTCCATTTTATTAATTTTCATTTATGAGTCTTTGCACATGTTTTTTTTTTTTCAAATAGAAACTAAAATTACCCATTTTTTCATTATTTGAAAGCCCAACCTGTTTGTATGGGAATAAGTCACCTGAAAAAAATTACATGGTAGTGAAACCTGGATTGTCTTTTATCCCTGGAACAAATGGTCAAATATACAGAACTGTTTGATTTTTAAGAAGAGCTAAAGATTGAACTCTTTGTTATGTTCATGGGTCCCTGTTTCTCTCATAGGTGGCTCACCCCTTGATTCGCAATCAGCTTGTCAATTACATCTACAATGGATTCTTGGTACCTGTCTTGGCTCCTGCTCTCCATAAGGTTGGTGATGGGCTGCTGTGATCTTTGTCCATAGTACAACTGCGGAGGGTAAACATGTGGTCCATTCAGCAGTGACTTTAGCCTCATTCTTCTTGTCAAGCCATCCGTATTCTCTTAATAACCTCAAATGCAGGTCAAATGCTGAAGTGTGATGGAATCTATTTGTTATTATTGAATACGTCATCGTGAATGTTCAGTAAGGTGGTCTCAACGACAACTGCTGACAGTAGATTCTTGTGGCCTACTTAGTTCATGGCTAGTGGACACCAGAAACTGTGAAGCTGTCCACTGAGGCCATGTCTGTTAAGGAGATGGTGAGGTTGACCATGGAAATGGAGAAGGGATAGTAGTAGCCAAATGCCATGGATTTGCCATCTTCTTAATCGAACAGAATTTTTTATGATGACAGTTTAAATTTTATAATAACAAAAGTGAAAGGGAAATCAAGACTTGTTCTGTCATTAGTACCTTGCTCAGTTTCTTCTGATGCATTGTACAGTAGATCGACTGATAAAATCTTATTGTGAGCTTTCAGGAGACACCCATGGACCTAGAATTCTAATTTTTAAGGAGCTTTTTTTTTTCTTCTTTTCTTCACTAAGTAAAGAGACATATACTGGGTGGCGTTCAGAGGAGCTTTGTCAGATTATTGGAATTGCCAGCCCTGGTCAAAAGAGAAGCAAAGAACAACTTTTCATGTGTTGTCTTGATGGAACGCTCACTTCCTACATCCAGCAGTTCCATCTTCACGGGCTCACACTTTATGGAAACCAACAATCAGGGCAACTGCAAAGTCTCAAAGCAGCTGCCAGTGGGTCTCAGCTCTGAGCAGCGGCCTTGATGAAGTGCTCCTCTCTTCCCAGCCAGCCCCTCCAAGCGAGTGGCAGTATTTACAGGATGAACAGGGTGCTTGGATTGGCTAGGACTTGGTTATGTCTCATTTCTTGGATATGGTGTAGATATTAAAACATTAAGATTTCCGGGTTATTATGGTGGTGATGGGCACTTGTTTCCAGGTTTCCGTCCTCTGGTCTCCTCCTACTGTTGAGGAGGTGAGGCGGGTGTTTGTAGCCAGGATCTCCAGGCCTTGGGACAGAGGTGTTTTCCTCAGGGGGATGCAGTCTCCTCGGCAGTGGTTATCCACACAGCTTCCATCTATGTCGACTTTTCCTCCTGCTTCCCCTCACTGATGGGCTGATATAAGTTATTTCCCAAGTCATTCTTATAATAGTGATAACTGTAATTATTGTTTGTTCAGGATAACTTATGTTATATACCAAATGTTTCAAATATCAGCGATAACTTCTTTTTTTTTTTTTAAAGATGTATTTATTTACACATACAGGAACTGGGGTATAGGCCAGAGGTGCAGGTTTGGGGTGGGGTGGAGGTAAGAGATTTCACCAGAGACAGAACAGGCAAGTATACCAAAATCCACTGCTGAGGGGAGCAGTGGATGAGACAGGAGAGGTCTGCTGCACTATGTGGGTCACCTCCCTGGCCAGGGATGGAACTCGCACTGCAGTGGCTGTGGACAGCTTCATAGTGCTGTGCTTTAACCCGTTGAGCCACCAGCGAGGGCCAGGGGTAACTCTTTAGCCATAATTGAGGATGAGAGTCCCCTCAGAGAGCTCTCTGACAGGGCCATCTGTCCTCTTCCTTCCTAGCAGTCATCACTGTGGAACTGAGTCATGAAATGTGTGGAACTTGTTTATGTCTGTCTCCATGATGCCGTGCTTGGTGGGAATAAGGATCCTACCTGTTTAACTCACTGTGGTATCTATCTCCAGTGCCTCGCTAGTCCTTAGACGGAGGAGGCTGAATAAACAGCACACTGATGGAAGGATGTTTGTTAAAGTACCAAGCAGGATGCTGGTACTTTAGCTTACAGCCTAGCCTGTAGCTTACAGACTACAGTAGTAACCCCTTCCATATATTAACTAGTGTTCTGAGTTATGCCCATAATTAAAACACGAGATTTAAAAATTCATGAAGTTATTAATAATAATACTTATTCTGGAAAAAAAAAAACAGAGCCAATCCTGAATATATAAAAATGCAAAATGAACATCACTATATATAAGATTCGAATTTCTGGTCCCAAATTAAAATTCCTTAACTTTTATCCAGGGCAGGCCTATATAGTGGCTAGGAGAAATATTTCCTCCTTAATTTACTTTCCTCCCCGCTCTCTGTCTTCCTTTGTGTTTTTGTTATTTAGAACGAAAAGGTAGGAAGGAAGCAGAGAAAGGGTGGAGATTGAACGACTTCTCTTCTGGGGGCTGAGATGCAGCAAAGGAATTGCACTTGGGATAATACTCAGGCTCCTTTGTCAAGGCCAGAGACACAGAAGATGAGAAAGAGGGGTGGCAGCCCCTGAGACTGCAGGAATCTTTCCCTTAATCAGTGGGGGAGGTACAGGCTATCAGATGAGACTGTTCTCTCAGAAAACGCCCAATTCTCGACTTCTTTCCTGCAGCCCGTCACCCACCATGAGGTGTGCCATCGACTGGTCAGTGTGTTGTCGAGGGTCCCGACTGGCAGATGGAGGTGGCATGGACACTGGCTCGGCGATGCTCGGCTCCAGCTGGCCAGACACAGCCCGGGCAGGGTCCCTGCACACCTGGGCTTGGGTGTAGGATTTCTGTCGAGTGATCTAGAAACTGGAAGCTTCTACTTTGGGGGTTATTTGGGCTTCTTTATTTGGAAACTTATAAAATGGGGGCAAGAAGTTTGGGACTGTCTGCTGGCACTGGAGACCTTGAGGGGAGTGCACTGAAGGGAGTGATGGAAGGAAGAGTAATTACACACCGTGCTCCTCTGCAGGCAGCTCTCAGGTATTAGCAGCCATACCTGTGGCCTCCGAGGAGCCTGTCCCTTGGCGTCTGCAGAGACGCCAGCTGTGTTTCTTTCTGCACATTATTCCATACGAGTACGCTTGGGGAAAGAGAAGTAAAATATCCACCAGAAAAACTGATTTCTCCACCCTCTCTGGTGTGCTAAAATCTCGCTTGAACCATATACCCCGCTAGAAAAATTCCAGCCGTTTCCTTAGTGGCGTGTGTGCAGGGTCCCTATAAGCCACTGTGGAGCCTATTTGTTTTACAATCTTGTCTTCCAAACACGCACATACATATTCATGATCTGCAGCCTGTGTGCTCAATAATTCATGGCTTATTGACTTAGGCTGATGGATGGATGTTTTGCCGGCCGAGAGAAGAAGGATGGCTGTTCCAAGCGACTTGGAGCAGTCACGCTTTGACCCTGATAGTGGGGGGTACTGGGACCCTGTGGGGCTCAGCTGGGCTTTCACCAGCCAGGGCTGTTTTTGACTTTTATGCCCTGTGAAACTAGTGACTAAAGATTGTAAAAGCAGTTAATAGCATTTCAAATGATTGCCATTACTAAATGTTAATGAGCTGTAATTGGGCACTGAGCTTATGGGAGGAATGAACACATGTCCCTCATGTCCTCTGTTTTCAGACCCCAGTGGGGAGTGGACACAGCAGGTCCCTGAGCCATCGCTCAGCTCGGTCTCTCCAGTCCACCCTCCCTCAGTGGCTCTAGTCCGGGAAATGGTGCAGGAGGCCCGGGTGGCCAGAGCAAAGAGGCAAGGCCCTGCCTTGCCTTACTGGCTGACTCCCACGGCCTTTCAGGATGCTCTTTGTCCCTCTCTGTCATCTGTGTCACTTTCTGGTGAAAAGCACCTGGAGGCTTTATCCCTGGTCTCCAGTAGTGGAATCTTTATCCCTGGTCTCCAGTAGTGCTACAAAATGTTGTTGGTCCGGCTGTTCCTGTCACTGGGAATCTGGAAGACAAAGAATCAAAGCTTGATTGGCCTTGGAATTTTGAAGTTTTGTTTTTCAAAGTTGGTGGTTCTTTGTTAATTTTTTTTTTTCTAGCTTCCCTTCACTTATGGGGTTTCAAATTAAACTCCCACTCTGGAGTGAGCCATTACTAAAAGCTGTAGTGGCATAATATTTTGGTTTCTCCATTTCGTAGGTCTGGTTGTACATTTTGGCACTTTGTTCTTTAAGACCCAGTCTACATTATAGACTCACAGTCCAATCTCTAGTGGCCTCTGCTTTTCTCGCCAGCTCCTTCCTCCTCCCGTGTTGGCGTCGAGGGACAGATGCTGGTATGGAACCTTGCTTCTGTGCATGCTTGGAGCACTAGGCCAGTCGGAGCATGACTCTGCCCTTCCCCACGCTGGAAGCATCCCTGCGCCCACCCGGGCCCACGGCCTGGGCAGGGACGTGTTCTGCCAGGGCAGCTGGCTACTGGGGCCAGCTGAGCACCCCGCATGCTTGAGCTCAGTAGAAACACTCGATCACCCAGCACCCCCTCATGCCTGCTGTATGTTGTGGCGCTTACCCAGTGCTGGAGATGTTATGACCAAGCAGCGGGAGGGTCCTGGTAGTCATTCCATTTCCTTGGTTACCCTGTACTTAAGCAGAAGATGACCATGAATGTGGAGTGGCCAGATGCGCCACTCACTCTGGCCCATCAGTAATGGCTGTTGGACGAGGTAATGAGAAGGCCCAGTCTGTCTCGGGCCTACAGCTCTGTAACATGGGTCAGCCTTTGCACTATTAAACTCAGATTGAGAAAATCATATTAAACAGGCCACCTCTAGACAGCCTAAATTAACAGTTGTTTTATCCAATGAGAGAGTCGGTTGTTAAATAGACCTGGAAGATTTTAGTGACAGTTGTAAGAGGCTTTAAGTTGGAAGTAACTTGGTTGTTAATTGAAAACCGAAAGTTAGTATATGCCATCTAATACATTCAATTAATGCCATTATATTTGCTCAATACAATTTTGGGAAGCAGTCTAGTTGAACATTTGAAAAAGTGGGTTTTGAGGTTAGAGAGAACTTGACTGGAGTTCTGGCCTTTTGCTGTTTAATTAGCAGTGTGACTGTGGCAAGAAGGATCTTCATCTGTGTGCTCTATTATCCTGGATAATGATACCTGTCATACTGGTTCTTGTGAGGAATA